TACATAGCTAAGGTATGGAACCAACCCTGTTGCCCTCAGGAGATGAATGGATCAAGAAAATATGGTATATATACACAATGGAATTCTATGCCTCCATCAGAAAGAATGACATCACTCCATTTTAAGGAAATGGAAAGACTTGGAAAAAATCATATTAAGTGAAATAAGCCAGACCCAAAGAACATAGATCCCATGCATATTCATTAACCATGGTGAACATTGTTACAGGTTTAAACTTGTATCTATGTGCAAAGGTTTTGCTAAATAGCTGAAAATTTTCCTGAGTGATAGATAAACACCTCTTTAAACATATTGTTATCAGGGGCTAGGAAAGTGACTCAGTGGTACAGTGCTTGCCTTCATCCATGAGGTCCTGGGTTCAATTCCTCAGCACCACATGGCAGAAAAATCCAGAAGTGGTGCTGTGGCTCAAGTGGTAGAGTGCTAGCCTTAAGCTGAAGAGCTGAGGGACAGCACCCAGGCTCAGAGTTCAGGCCCCATGACTGGCAATATACATATATATATATATATATATATATATGTATATATATGTATATATATACATATATATGGTTATCAAATTCTTTTCCATTAGGAGTTGTGATAAATGACATTACTTTGATCATTTTATTAAGAATTCCTCGCTCTTTCTCTGTACCCACACAAAATGTTAACTATTTTTTCAATCTGCTATGTATAGAATGGTGTCCCTTGAAAATTCACAGATTAAAATCATTACCCTTAGTCTTTCAGAATGTGACTATGTTTGGAAGTAGGAGTCTTTAAAGAAGTCTCAAAATTTTGGACATTAAAAAAAACCTATTCAAATACAAATGTCTTTGTAGTATTGTTTTAATACTTCCTGTTTCTCTCCTGAATTCTCTCTTTTTTTTTTTGCAGTAGTAGGTGGTGCTTGTACCATGGTCACTCGAGTTTTTTCCAATTAACATTCAAACTTTTTAATATCTACTTCTTATTTCATTTGTACTAGTTTTGCTTTATAACTTCTTACTTCTTTTTAAAGGAAGTCATTTTTTCCATTTGTCTCATTGCACCTTTTAAATCTGCTAATTTTAAAGCTTTTGTCAGAACAGTCCATGAAATTAAATTCATGTGGAACAAATTTAAGCTTTAATTGTGATGGTGCGTTCACACTTGGTGTTACTATGTGGCTTATACTTTTGTTTGCATTTCTTTAGGACAATTTGTAATGCATTCTTGATAACCTATACCCTTTATTTATTGTCTTTTGTATTCACCCTCCCTCTCCAGTAAAGTTTCACCCCAGTCACAAATCTCATGTCTGAAAGTAGGTCTTATAATGGAATTTGACAGCTTCTGCCCCTGGTGAGATTGCAAATATCACAGATTCAGTCAAAGCCATTTGAGTGTTCTTAGTTCCTCATCCTGATATGGTATTTATAATAATCTTGCTCAAAGGAAAAATATCTTGTTAAATCTTGATAAATGCTATCGCTGCAATCATAAAAAAGAACTTTATTTCATTAAGGAATTCCTATCCAAGAATCTAATTTCAAGAAGCTTACTTCTTGTCTACCTCTTTTTCTTCCCTCTCTTAGGTGTGACTTTTTAGTCACCTTCACCCTAAAGTTACCCTATGCTTGGTTGCCACTATCTGTACTTTATCAAGAGGTCAGAATGGTTGAGCATGTGGCACCTGTCAGTATGCACAAAGACATGCAGTTCTTTCTCAGAACCTCAGGTAAAGAGGAAAAAGAGACCAGAGTTTCCATGGCTTCATTACCATTCATGCTGTAACTTTTCTATTATTCTTCTTGTTCCATGCAATATTCATCTCATGTTTGAACTCCATTAGCTATACTTGGTTCCCCATCATTATGCATTATTTTCAGTCCTACAGTTTTGAGGATGTATAATAAATGTATGTGCTTCTTTTCACACACAAAATAAGATAAAATTCCTCCAAGTTCTCATTACATTACATAGTAACATTCAGGAGTTAAATAGGTAGAGCATAAAATCTTCACTATCCTGTGTGGAATAATGCCAATAGAATTTTTCCATAAGAAATATTAATCCGGCCAAATCAGTTCCTTTCAGAATTTCTAGGGTTTTTAATAACCTAATGATCATGTTAAAAAAAAATAAGAAATCCTTAGTCTTGGTTTTCAAAGATTCTGATTTGGTGAGTCTAGAATGAAACCTTTGGGAATGGAACAGTTTTAGCACACTCCAGATGACATAGCCTATGAAGATGATTTCAAATAGCATGGAGTTTAACTTCATCTGTAACAACTAGTTTTTAAAAGCCAACTTGATCTAAGCCTGGCTAGCCTTATGGCAGAATGAGAGCAAAAGACTGTGTAAATTGAATGAATCATTTCTTTCCTTCTCTCTTAGAACCTCTATTTTAGTTTGTGTAGTTGTCCTCTAAAAAAAAAATAGGTTTAAGAATAAGTCATACCTAGATGCTGCCAGTGGTTTACATTTATAACCCTAGCTATAGAAAGTTGAGATCTGAGGACTGCATGTGGAAGCCAGCCCAGGTAGGAAAGTCTGTGATACTGTTACCTCCAATTGACCACCAAAAAACAGGACGTGGAACTGTAGGTCAACTGGGTATAGTGCTAGCTTTAGCAAATAAATAAATAAATGGAATAAATCATACCTAACAAAATCATACCTAAAAAAAATCATACCTAAGAAATGAGGTTATAATGCTCACCTTGATCTTAAACCGTTCTGTTTTCACTTCTTTCATTAAATGTGATGCAAATCTCTTTCATGATGACTGCTTCTTGATGCTTTAATGAAGTTAAAAATATGCTTACATCAAACGCAACAGTAGTACTCATCAGACAGTATGTTGAAAATGAGTTATACAACTTGTGGATGGACACAAGAGGGAAAAACTGGGAGAGAGTGAAGAAATGTACTCATTACCCAGCCTAGGTAACTGTAATCCCTCTGTTCATCACTTTTTAGCTTTTTTTTTGGGGGGGGGAGGGGTCTGGTCATGGGACCTGAACTCTGGGCCTGGACGCTGTCCCACAGCTCTTCAGCTCAAGGCTAGCATTCTACCACTTGAGCCACAGTGCCACTTCTGGCTTTTTTTCCTTTTGCTTATGTGGTGCTGGGGAATCGAACCCAGGGCCTCAGGCACACAAGGCAAGCGCTCTACCACTGAGCCACCTTCCCAGCCTCTGTTCATCACCTTTACAATAACAATAAAATATATTAAGAAAAAAATAGAATTAAAAAAGAACAGTGAGAGAAAGGATGAGTAGTAGAGGGATGGTGAGAATATTGAAAATTATGATATTGATCAAGATACTGCTTTGTCAAATGGCAACTCCACGCACAATTATTAAGGGTACTAATAAAATAAAAAATAAAAATTTTAAAAAGGAAAAAAATAGCTCCACTTCTATAGAGGGTAAATGTCCTCCATATTTTGAATCACTTGTTTGGCTTTTTATTTAAAAGTATATATAACATAAATGTTAAATGGAAAGGTTATGATTGGTGTAATGAAATATATTTCAGTTTAAAAGTCATTGCCCTGGTTCAGAGCAATAAAAGAAACAGTATTACATGATAATCTGTGTTGAAAAAGTCAAAGTATCTGACTAACTACTGCAAACCCTTTTCATCCTGGACCCACATTTACTAAGGCTGTGCTGAGTAGTACCTTAGTACTGACAAAGCCAATTCTACAGCCATGAATAGCACCAAATTTTACCCTTTCTTGTCTTCCTCATTCCCATTTAAGCTGGAGAAAGTATACTCCTAGGCCATCCCAAATTCAAAGTTATAAAGAAGCATCAAAAGTCAATTCTGTATTTTAAGTTAATTGGCTATCATTAGCACACACGTATGTGTTTCACCAAATTGACTTGGATAAAATGTATGGTTGCCTACCAAGGGCAATTTACACTGAAGACAGAAATATTTCATAAATGAAAATAAAGTTCTCTACCTGCAGGAAGAAAAATGTCTAGATTGGGGGAAAAGATGCCATAGGCATAGAAATGTCAAGGAGTGTTTTGAATTAAAATAACTTTATAAAACGGAAACAGGAAGAACTCCTTTAATATTTATTATTATTATTACTATTATATAACTCTGAATGATTATAGGGCAGAAAATAATTATTTTTCTGGTCCTCAATAAAATATATGATCATCTATTAATAATACTAGAGACATAAAGAAAACGGAGAAGTTCTCATTACAAGAACTTGATAGCTTTATGAATGTTTTAATTACTTTGATTCCTTTCCAAGACTAAGACAACTACTTGGTAATTTCTAACCACAGAAGGTAAGTCATTACTAGCTAGAAAGAAGGCATTGGTATTTTCAGCTTTCCTAAACAGAAAGCAAGATGACTACTTGATCAAATTTAGACATGAATGGAGTTTTACAGTGTCTTAAAACAAGACATTATATCAAAGTTTATGGCCTTCTTCCCTTGAAAGATTCAAATCGATCTGGGGTGTGAAAAATGATGTGGTGTAATAGAATTACAGGATGAGAATTTAAGACATACTCTTAAAATCTGAGTCAAATAATGATTCCTAGCTATTTAGTGAGACAAAAAATTGATCAGGGCAACTATCTGTTTCTAAAGCATATCCTCAACCCGGTGACCATAAAGTCCTCTCTTCCATTTCCTGTGTCCAATTTCAAACTTTCTTGACACTAGATAAAACGCTGCTTCTTTGATAAAGGCTCTGATTTGTATAGCTAAAAGTAATTTGTCCTTTGTACACATCACAACAGTAATTCACACAGGTCTTTCTCATTTCAGAGTCTAAACTCATTAGTCTAGCACTAGATTTATTTTGGGTAAACAATACTAACCTTGTTAGATAATAACTTCCTATGGGGTAGGCTAGTTGCCCTACTTTTGTAAAACCTAATGAGCTAAAGGCTTTTTCTTTTCCCAAATATTGACCTTTACAACATTTTTGGTGTTAGTGGGATTTGAACTCAGGGCCATATGCTTATCAGACTAGTGCTCACTTCAGCAGCACATGTACTAAAATTGGAACGATATAGCGAAGATTAGCATGGCCCCTGCGCTTATCAGACTAATATTCTACCACTTGAGCCATGCCTTCATCCCTACTTTTTGCTGGGTAATTTGAGAAATCACACAGCAAACTTTTCTGTCCAGGTTTTCCTCAAACCGTAATCATTTAGATTTCAGCTTTCTGAGTATCTAGGGTTATAGATGTGAGTCACTGGCCTATTTAATAGTTTTGGGAAAAAAATGAAGATGAATGAAAGTCAAATCTATCAAATATCATACTGATCTAAACATAAAGGCTTATTACTTATGAGTGGGCTCATATACTTAAATAATAACAATTTTTATATTTTAATATTAATTGTATAGGCTAATGAAAATGATCATTTTTTTTCATGTAAAATGTTGCTATGCTAGTTCTTGCTTGCCAAGAGATCTCTTTGTAGTCATTAAGTTTTAGGCAATTACCTCTTCTCATTGTCACATGATCGATGAAAAAGAAATCATAAATAAGGCTTGAATTAAATAAAATTTCTAGCTTTGTGAAAGACACTGTCAGGAAAATTCAGTCATAATATTCAATATATAGCCTATGAAACCTGGAAAGTCAAGGGGGTGGGTGAGATTGGGAGGGATAGAAAATGATGAAAGAGGTGATGTAGATCAAGATGCATTAGAGTCATAAATTGTCATATTGAATTTTAACCCATTGTACATTATGGAAAGATAACAAAAAAATTAAAGACGCTGTCATCAGAATGAAAAGACATGCCACATCTGGGAGAAAATGTCTGCAGACTTGTATTAGAAAAGCAAATTCTTAAATATCAATAGTGTAAAAAGAGGCATGGCTCAAGTGGTTGAGCACCTGCTGACCAAGTGTGAGACCCTGAGACTAATCTCCACGTATAACCAAAATGAAAATGAGAACTAATAAAGTCTCTATTTTAAAATCTAATAAGTCATTCTGATTACTTTTTAATAAATTTTTGGCATGGTCTATTAAACTGAAGCCATTCAAAATAGAAGTTATCAACCTATTCTTTCTTAACTGCATATAAAATATCTGTTTAATAACTGATTGGTTTGGTAACAATCAATATTTTCCTTAATAAATTTCTTCACATTCCTCGTCAGACTGGAAAAGAAAGATTATCCTTAAGTTTACTAATTTATAATTTCTATAGTCTAACTACCAATGGGGAAAATATTTGTGGCTTTTCTGTTGTTTTGATCAGTACTTCCAATGAAAGATTATGAAAATTTAACATTATAATAACATTATATAATTTAACAATATTAATTAACTTTATAATAACTTTAGGTAACCAAATATGTCTGAAATACAGGCATGATAACTAAAAGAAGCTAAAAGTAATAACTATCAATGCAAATGGAGAGAACTTTCCTGATTAAAAAATAAATGAGCCAGGCTCCGGTGGCTCACACCTGTATTCCTAGCTCCTCAGGAGGCTGAGATCTGAAGATCACGGTTCAAAGCCAGCCAGGGCAGGAAAGTCCATGAGCCTCTTATCTCCAATAAACCACTCAGAAAACCAGAAGTGGTGCTGTGGCTCAAGTAGTAGAGCACTAGCCTTGAGCTGAAGAGCTGAGGGACAGTGCCAAGGCCCAGAGTTCAAGCACCACAACTGACAATAAATAAATAAATACTGGAATCTACATATTGGCTGCCTCTGGGTAATCACTTTCTGGAGAAAAAACAAAAACAAATTAAAAGGCAAAGACTCAAACATTTACTAACATTTTCTAATTTAAAGGATGCAGGGTAAAGTCATATAAATATCTAGAAATATATAAAAAATATATAAATAAGAAATAAAATTGAAATAGCATCTGCAAGGTACAGGCATCAGACAGACTTCTAACTTCTATGCAACCGTAATGGCAAGAAAATAAAGGGCAATGACCACATTTAAGATAAGAACTAGAAAGATTGTTCCACAGGAACTGGGTGTCATTCTTTGTAAAAAGACAATAAAGGTATTGCTAAATAAAAATTGCAAATGTATTATCAAAATACCCTACTCAGGTACTTAAATGGATCACACTCTAACTTACCAAGAATCACAGGCAGTGAGGAAGGAGGAAGCAAGAGAGAGAGGGAGAGACGGAAAGAAGGAAGGATGGCCAATGATATGTAATCCGCAGGTAAAAGACTCCAAAATTCAACCTCTCAAAACGTGGCTTCTCTGTTTTCTCATGACTGGATTCATACCTGATTTAAGGTGAAGCATGATCAGTGTTACTATTTAAACCATTGGTGCTGTCAAAACTGTTACTGATGGCCAGATAAGGAACTAGTCTTTCTGGGCTTCTGTCTTCTCATCTACAAATGCCAACTTATCTACAGTTCTCAGGGGACAAAATGAAATATAAACTAAATGCATAAGTGTGGTAGATTCTTAGTAAACAAGAGTCCAGTTTCTCTCTCCCCAGTGCTTCACTTTTTGTAGAAAGTGACCTTCCTTATTCACTTAACTAGAAATTTTCCCCATGTTGTTTCTATGGTCATCCTCCATCAATAACTACTTTGCCACAGTACTGTTTCCCAAAGTCATTCCTATGCATTCATCCTGCTTTCTATGGTGACCTTCATAACATGAATATCTTAGAGGGGGAGCTATGTTGTCAGGTTGCTTTCTATAGCTACATTGACTTTTTCCTCAAATGGCAACAAAATATTTGCCATGAAATGTATATTATCTATTAAAATAATGATTTTTGCATATTCCATAATTATTATTCTTAAGAGGCTACTTTTACTGTTAAATCTTTTCTAATAAGTATAGGTTTATGGAAATTCTCTATAATGTGTGTACCTTAAGTTGATATAAATTTAACCAAAAGTAAATTACCAATACATATTTAATTCAAATTTTTAGAACTTACTTTATCTCTACTCTTCTACTAAAGGTATTTCTTTAGCTACAATTGTCTAAAATTATAGAATATTTTCATTCATCTTCAAACTACTCAAAGAAATCTGACCCTCAGAGACCTCTGTAATAAGTAGAAAAGTTATAAACATAAATATTCAAACCATATTTAGGGAATTTGTTGATATCTAAATGTCTGTCAATGAAATAAAATTTTCAGTACAACTGAATCAGTACTGATTTGGTATATCCATTTAATCAAATTAATTATAGAGATTATACCAATATTGTAATCTAGTAGGCTAGCCTAGCAACAATTAGAGAACACTGAATTAAACCTTGGGTTCAAGTTAAACTGCTATTTTCATAATTGTTAAATTATAAATTCGTTATTTTTATAATTATACAAAGGTAACAAGGTGCTCACAACTAGAATTAAAAAATCAGCTAACATTCATTCTTTTCAAAACCTCACATGACAACCTATCTCTTCTCTCTGAAACATTTCCTATTGTCCACCTGATATACAGTAAAGAATAATTCTATAATACTCAAATATTCACAGGTAATAGTTAATTCACTTACTTTGAGCAAATATTGAGCCTTCTCGTTAAAAAACATAGCTTCCATGTTCACACACACACTAGCATTAAAGAACAAAAGAACTAGGACTGAATAAATGATCCATATGGTATTGGTTACTAAATAAATATTTAAATATTTCCTGTTCTCATATATTTATTAGTAGCACCTGTTTCTTTTCATGAAAAGTTAAGCACATATGACCATATAAGATGATGATAAGGAAAAGAACCTCAAGATAGAGACACAAAAGGTTTTATTTTTGTTGCTGTTATTTTTAATGTACTTATAATGTACCATATGATTTTTTTGTTTCTTTTGTATGTTCTTCCCCCCTGGTATAACCGCTGTTTTCATTGTATTTGATTTCAGTGCCCTGCATCTTTTATATACATTTTTCTAATTTGGGGAGGGGAAGGGAAATAACAAAAGGATACAGATTGACCCATTGAAACAATGAACAATGAGATGTACAAGACACTATGTTGAAAATGAACTTTTCGGGGGAGGGGAAGAGTTGGGGAGGTAGGGAAGGAAGGGATGGTAGAGGAAGAACAAAGGAGGAGGTAACAATGGTCCATAGGAAATGTACTCATTACCTTACTCATGTAACTGTAACCCCTCTGTACAGTATCTACAATCAAAAAATATTTTAAAAATTTTAAGACATCTTTTGGGGGCATTGCCAAGAGCTTTCCTGCTTATTTTTTTGTCAGTTGTGAGTGCTGTCCCCAAGCTTTTACACTCAAGGCTAGTGCTCCAGCACTTTGAGTCACACCTGCAGTTCTGGTTTTCTGATGGCAAATTGTAGATAAGAGTCTCATGGACTTTCCTACCCAGACTGGCTTTGAACCACAATTCTCAGACCTCAGCCTCCTGAGTAGCTAAGATTACAAGTGTGAACCACCAGTACCTACCTCAAGAGCTTTACTTCTACCTGAGCTACTTACAGCCAAAGATACCATCCCAAGAACAATACAAGTAGTGAGAAAACTTGTGGAAAAAGTCAATCCACTCTTCATGTTTCCAACGTTACTTGCAATTATCTGGGCAATGTGCACCCTACCCAGGATCTTTCTAGATTAATACTGAATAGAAGAATCAGTATGGCCTATTAGTTCATCTTAAAATCTTACTATTTATAAGAGTTTACTGTAATTACAAGTCTTAAATTAAGTAATAAAACCATCACAGAAATTCCCAAATGACAAAAAATTTGAGACTACAATATTGGATATGAAAGAGAGCACATAAAGCAAGTTCAGTAGTAAGGAGTAACTAATAAGCAACTCCAGAAAGAAAGAAATGAGCTGAGTCAATTTTGGCTGTGTGCTTATACCCAAAGGAAAGAATTTTAAGTAAGACAAACCTAGTAAGAATGCTGTCATCTGAGGTTAACATAATATGCTCATAACTCAGGGCAACTATAAGGGTTCGCATAATTTTTCTCATCACTTGTTGGATTAAAAAAAATGATCTGAATAGAAATTTCTATTTCCTGTTTTTCATTTCTGTTAATCATCTTCTCCTTGGAGACATCAATGATAAGAGAATTTTATAAAGCTTCTCTACATATTTCCAAGGGAAAAGCTAAATATTGTATTCTTCTAAG